TATGGCAGGGGTGTCAAACTCCAGGTATCCTGACTCTTTTACATGTCTCTGCTGCAACACACCTGAATAAAATTAGTAAGTAATTAGCAAGATCCTATAGAACGTGACTGCATAACCCTACTCAAGTAAATTTAAATAAATGTAAGTGTTGGGAAAAATGTGTATTCTTCTAGTAAATAAACTATTCAAACTTGTTTAGTGAAATCCGCCTTTTAAGTCCACTCATCCGGCATCTGATGAGACAAAACTGCATTGTAACATTGTTTCTCAAATCAATACCAACCATGTCTCTATAAGCAAAGTTATTGCTGACATAATGACATTTTTTTTTTTGCATTAAAGGCTTTCTAAATTGTTATATTAAAGATGTAGATGAGATTTAACAATAAATATTGTATAGAATTTGTCCAAATACAGAAAATATAGGAAAATAAGCACTAAAATGTGTGTTCTGGATTGTTCCTTTTAGAAATAAAATATCTTGGAAGCAAAAATATAAAAAAAAAAATTTCTTGTACTGTATTGCATTAATTACAAAGACAAAAAATACAACTGACACCTCAAAAATATATTTTTAATTACAAAAAGTAGGACAATCATTGAATACAGTTTAAAATCAGGGATTCGAGAAATGCGACAAAACTAAATTTCTAGCTTTGAGAGTCAGTCAGTAATGAAGCAAATAAACTGTTAACAGTTAATATTTAATAAAGAGAAAAAAAAACATGACTAAACGGTCACAAATATAAAATCTATTTCAATATCAGATATCAGTTTCAATTTAAATTTCAGGAGATTGTCGTGGAAATTTTAAATAAACCCGCAAACACCTTGGTGAGCATGATTTAAAGTGAGTTTAATAACAAGTTTTATTAATTGCAATATGGAGAGACTCTGGTCAAATACCTAAGCAGTCTCTGACGATGGCTGCCGCCCTTACATCTTATATACAAACAGACAAATACCTCCACAACTCCTACATGTTGCCCAATCTCACAGGTTATACCTTCCCTTCAGAGAGAGAGGGAGAGAGAGAGGTAAAGAATTATTGCCTTGCCGTCACCTACAGATTTACATCCCTGATTAGCAGGAGTTTCACTATCTGTTTAACGTCTCCCATGAACTTACAATGGCTCCACTCTGTGTGTGTGTATATGTGTGATAGAGCATAAGGCCCACTTGTGGTGCACATGCATACAACTGGTGAAAATGTAATTCTACAATTACTAAAGTTATATGGTTAAAACATGTGATCAATAAAAAGAAATCCTCCACGACATTGTTACTGGCATCAGCGTTTAACTTGAGAGTAGACACTGTGTTCAGCACCCTCTCTCTTCCTTTTTCCTCTTGTTTTTCTTTCAGAGAAATTCAG